ACGGTTTTTACGATACAAAACGAGGGTCGGTAGTTCATGGGGGGCGGGGTTACCATATATATATATATGTATACAGACAGACATACATACACACACAAACACACGTGATCCGAGAAATGTGTATTCATTCATCCAGTCAACCTTTGAAGGGTTTGAGATTTGCTATCCGTTATCTTTATGGGGGTCTAATGTCCTCTCTTAGGCCATTCCTTTCAGGTCCCGGCACACTTACTCATTTCAGCGGTTTAGATTTATTGCCCATTATCCATCTTCTGTCGAGGCTTCGGGCTCAGGGCCTCGGGTCTCAAGTCATTTTGTTAGGGACCCGGCTGCAGGGTTTTGCCAGAATTACAGATTCTGGTTCGCAGTGTTGGTGTTATTCTGCTGTACATGCGACAAACCTTGCATTTTGATTAGGCATGTTTGAGCTTGCGGTTTTCATGATTGAACCTTGATTGCATATGCTTGAGAGTAGCGGGCATGTCAGTTTGGTGATTTCTGATTTTGCTTTTCGCGTTTCATTTCTTGATTTTCAAGTAGTGCGCTGCCGACGTTTTCCTGCTTCCGTAAACATTACATTTCGTAAGAATCGCAAGGGGCTCTGGGAGCCTATCTGGGACCGGAGCCAAGGAAGACGCCCAGTTAGTGCTGGTGGAGCAAAGATGGACGTGTCCTTGTGTACCTTCTGAAAAACGGGCCCCTGTGCCAAGATTAGCTAGCCACCCATGTGCGAAGGATGAGGTAAAACTTTTCCCATGACATGCACGGTTGCTGAAATCTGATTGTCTGCTTTGCCATGTTTGCAACGCTTTTCATGGATTCGACATGATGGCTTTTACACGTCACATGAGGGCATGCGCAGACGTGCACCAAAAATTAACGACCTGAGGGTCGTCGTCCACATCAAGCTTGGGTCTCGCGGTGCCGGACTGACCTGTGTCTAGAGAGTTGTGTACTGTTGGAGCTCCCCCATGGGCGCACCGTTTTCCGGCGAAATATGCCGGCGCGATGGCGCTCTTGTGTAGGAGGTCTGGAAACCATTGAGGATTTGACAACACATTCAAGTGAAAATCAAGAGTCATGTCCGGAGATCAGCAGTGATGATGGAAGTCGCTTGACGTCAGATTTCAGATTGCTGCTCAATTGATGTTCAAGCGTTTTAATGTTTTGTAGCCAAGGTTGCCCTAGATTGCACTTCTTTGCATTATGGATCGTGATCGCACGCCCTGTCGAGCACCGTGGGGCGGACTCCCCGCACCACCATGCAGACTCCTGCAGCAGTGGGCAATAATCAGGCTCGCCCGATGATCATGCAACCCCAGAATCTACAGTGGCAGCTGAGCCCTCCCTTGACGTGAGCGGTTTCCGCACCCAAGGCCCCTCCCCAAATGTATCGCCATCCGGACCCAGGATCACGTCCATTAGGTTCGCATGCTACATTAGGTGGAGGGTCACCCTCCACCGCAACGTCCTGCAGCCAATGTAGCTTTGGCCATCTCATGCCATCAGAGTTTGTGCAGAACCCACATTACCTGCCGATGGGTAAAGCAGGCAGAATGGTCGACTGGAAAGTTGTTGGACAATTGCCCTACACATATGATTCCGCTACATGTAGCGTTGTATCAAGGATGGATTTCATATTGGATTCGACACATTGCTGAGGGACGACCGACGTTCTTCGCAGGCTTGCGCAGCATACCGGAAGTTGTGTTTTGCCGTGCACTGTTTTCCAAGCTTCGAGATGAACAAATGTCGATCGACGAGCTTGCGGCCCACGTGTCTGGATCGCAGATGGTGGGCAGCAAAAATGATGAGCGTGTCCAAGCATGTCAGGATCTTGCAGCGAGAGTGTGTGAATTCATGGTGCTTGCTTCCGGTGGAGGCTCCGAACCCGGAGATACAAGGTCTTAAAGATCAGGTTGAAAGTGTCAATACCGGTCAGTTCAGGATCGCCGTTGCCAGGAGACACCTCTGATCCTGCAATCAACTCTACTAAGGCCCCGGATGGTCCCACACGTCTAAACAAGCAGGACAATGGAAATCCGCTGTCCACCTTGTTCAGTGCTTTCGAGAAGGGAAAAGTATGCGATCACCAGGCGAATGCAGAGGTACCATTAGCCAACCACAGCCCCCTCCCGCGAAGCTTGAGTACGGAACTCATGCACACGTGACATCGGCGGTGAATAGCCCGGACGATGCCAAGAAGGCCTTCCCGATCCGACATTGGAAGACTTGCAAAAATGACAAAGAAGTGGTCACTTGGATAGACTCAGTGGGATAGACTCAGTGAGCCTTTCCAAACACAACAAGGCAAAGTCAATCACTTGGACGTCGCGCATCCAACAATGGCATTCAGACTTGACGGCAGCAGAACAGGCCAGTCTTGCCCGCATTATGGTAGAATGGGGATTAAAATTGAAGGCCCGCCCTTCACTTCTTAAAATCCTTGCACTGGGCACCATACTGCTCGCTTGACTACAGCAGGTGGCTGCAGTCGATTAGCTGGAGCCCAGCGTAACTCACACCTCTTTTCCAGTGTGTGTGTGTGTGAGACTCCTATTCTGTTCGGCCACGAGCGAAGGAAAAGGTCATTTGGGCCAGAGGAAAATCGGTGCTGCCAGCCGCAGACCTTGATCTTGTGGAGTTGCCATCATTGCAGCGATTACATTTCAATAGTGCCAAGTACAATTGGAAATTCTTCATGTCAAAATCGGTTGCGTATTGCCGAGTTCTTCTGCAACCTGAGTTGCAACAGGTCTTGTATGTGGGCTCGACGACTCATTCTCCTAGCGATCGCGAACGTACCAGATGGGGCAAGTTCAACACGATTTGCGCGGCCACAACGGCGTGTGGAGAGTTGTGCTTGTGGTGGCATCATAAGAACAGGAACTGCCATCTGCCTGTGCCGCTCGTGATTATGCATGTACCCAGCACCAACTGTTTGCGTACTTTGGAACGGGCCTTCATTCATTTGCTCCAGCCACGGCTCAATGCGCCATGGGTCCGCTTGCTGGTAGAAGCGAAACATTCTCAGATTAGTTCCACGGATCCAGTTCGGTCTGTCAGACGGCGTATAACGTCATGGCGACAATCTCGACGGTACAGACGTCCATCACTTGTTTTGCGTGGACTGACAGCTGTTTCAAGCGAACAGTTAGGCGATTGCTGGATCAATTCTTGGACATCTCTGCACATCGACTGATTCCGTATCACACCCCTAGCACGAGAACCTCCACCCAGGCATGCTAGAACATTGGTGTCCCAACTGGTGGAGGCGGACAAACTGGTATGGACATGCGTGATCGAACAAGGCGTCAGGCACAGGAAAGATGCATCTGGAGCTTACCCGTGGACACTGAGCTCAGGCGTGCGCTGGAGAGTTACGATGTCTCGTTCAGCCTCTTGCCCCTTCGGAGTGCTCAGAAGTGGGAGCCTCGCAAGAAGCTCAAGCAGACGCCGACCAATCAAAGGCTACCCTGGTCAAGCCGGTTGGGGTTTAGTGCCCAAGGAGATCCTAAAGCTGGGTGGTGTTGCTTGCGTGCCGAGTGGGGAGCAGCTGTGATTCTCATACAACTTGCAGGGCGACAAGTGCAAATGCGATCCTGCCACATTTCCGAGGAAACACCTCTGCTTGCTGGATCCCTCCACTGCCCGCCTTCTCTGCAAAACCTTCATCACGTGAAGGTGTGGCAGGTGTCTGTGAGCCCGCTGAGGCAGCAATCCTGCAGAATTCAGTGAATACACAAATGGTTGCGATTTCAGACTCGGAGGACGACCACTGTGCTCCTTCCAATGAAGTTGAGCAGCTTGTCTTTCAAGACCCAGCCGAAACCACAAATTTGCCAAATGAGGTATCGTGCGCTTCTTCCCCTGATGTTGAACTGCCTGCCAAACCATGTGACCCTGAGGTATTCGCTGCACGCCAGCTAAAGCAAGAGAGTGTCTCGCGTGCTGCTATCCTTGCCTTGGTACGGCTGCTGCCGCGTGAATCGCCTCATAATCATAAGCATGCTGAGTTGCCCTTCCCCCAAGGAGCTCTCGGTGCCGGAATGTATCATAAGGGTGCTGGCATGGCGGGGTTTCGCAAATCGTGCAACCATTCCCTGTCTAAGTTGCTGTCAGCAACCGAATTTTGAACAAAGCCATTCCTGGCGCTTCGTATAACGCTTTCGCAATCCTTGACAACATTGCATCTCCGGCGCACCGTGACTTGCAGAATCAGCCAATTGACAATCATGTCCTGGCCTCGTCATCTTTTGGAAACAGTTGGTTGTTTTACATCGAAACCAAACTTTCTTACAGAAAACGGAAAAGCATCGTTGGAGAGTTTGGCTGTACAGTTTGCTTAAGAATGTGTTTTTGTTGTTTTTGGATTTCGCTAGGAATAGTTGTTTTGATTGGAAGATCGCAGTGTTGCCGTGGAGGGCGTGATGACGCCGAACCTGAACGAGTTGTCTGGCACGTTCTATTGAAAGGTCGGTTTGGTTTTGGTAATCAGTCATTGAGAGATACAGGATCCGGACCTGCCGGAAAAACTGGTTTGACACGGTATTTGTGATACAAACGAGGGTCGGTACTTGGGTGGATATATATATATATGTGTACACATACATATACATATACATGCACACACACACACATATATATATATACACATACATACATACATTCATTCATACATACATTACACACACATACGTACATACGTACGTACGTACGTACCTACATACACACATGCAGGCATACATACATACAAGTGTGCCTGTGTGTGTCCGTGGGTGCCTGTCTGTGCGCAGCGCTTTTTGCAGGAGGTCATCGACATCCTTTGTTCACCTGGCCATGGGATCACCTTGCTGATGGCGCACGACAACATGCTGACAGCCTTTCTCATCGCCTTGGGAGTTTATAAGGAGCAGTGGCCTCTTTATGCCTCGCAGGTGGTGTTGCTCGCCGCTAAGTGCAATCAGGGTAGTAAGTAGGATTAGGCATAGGCTTTTGGCACGGGGCGTGGTGGCCAGTCGGCCAGGCCACCCGAGAGACCCCAGCAGAGAACCGTCACGGTGTGTCATGCTACTTTCGGTACATCATGTTCCTTGTCTTACTTTCCCAGGATTTTGCACATTTGTCGCTCTATGCGTTCTAGATAGTTTTTTAGATTGTGCTTTCGTCGCTGACTCTTGTTCGGCGAAGCGTCAGCGACCGGCCCCCGCAGAGGCGTCAGCAGTGCGATCGGCACAGCCAGCGCAACCAGTCAAGGAAGAACAGCAGCTGGACCCCTTTGATCTGGCAGAGTGTTTGAAATGGAAAGAAGAGCAGGACAACCCCAAGCGAGACAAGAACCCTGGTAGACCCAAGAAGGCTAATGTGAATGATGAGGAGGAGCGCAACATGTTGGAGCTCCGTGTCCAGGAGTTGGAGTTGAGTTGGGAGGAGCGGGAATTTTTTAGGCACCCGCGAATGAGCGTGCCAGAGGATACCTCCTCTCAATACATCGCCGCTGCACCATGCAAGCTTACGGCCCGAAGCAGGGCGCTGTTACAGAGGACGACGCCCGAACCCGCAAGTGCGATTTCGGTTCCACCACCACGATGGTTCCGTAGAGGTGCTGGGCCCGCGGAGTCAAGGATGCTATTGATGAAGTACCATTCTATTAACCGGGTCACAACGAAGGTTTTTGCAACAGAAAGGATGCTGTGGGGGCTTGCTTGTCCCACGCGATGGATTTGCAGGATTTCTTGGATGCGTGTCTGTTGTATTGAATTACAAGTATCCTTTGCTGCTTTAATCATAGACCACATGCTGGGGGCAAAAAGAAGAGCCGCCTGGATTGTTACGTTTATTTGCTCCCCCCCCCTTCCAGGGCAAGCGTGGAGGCCAAAAGCCTCGGAAGCTCTTGGTCTCCAAGTCTAGTTCCGCTCGCGCACACGCGGAGGGACACTTGAACTCTTGAGCAGCTTGCTAATTTGGATGCAGGCTCATTTATGTTCTGAATATGATATATGGCAAGGAGATATAGCTTCACTAGAAACTAACCTCAAACTTCACCCACCATTTTCTGTGTTAAGTCAGCTCCGGCAGTAATCATATTTGTTTTCATCGTGGTCGCATATTCACAGTGCTTCGCTTCCCGAATGCATCACTACCACATATGACACTGGGCAAGGTCGCAACTCAGCATTGTCATAATGCATATCAAATTCAACAGGCATAGTTGAATGTAGCCAACAGAATGGGTGTATCCAATTATGTTCATACTCACGTCTCGAATGTCATGCTGCAAAAATAAACTTTCCGAAGAATTGCTGTAGCAAGTGCGCAACACCAGTCCCAAATGAGTTGTATGTGCAATCTTTCCATCTAACATATATTTGGGGTATCATTGGTTGCATGTCCGTTCCAACACTGATGGCAGAGAGTCGTAACTGATGAAAGGTGATAAACGGGCTTCCATAAGTTATCTATATTAGATATACGTGCACAAGGAAACAAAAAGGAACACGTCTGATGATGCTGCCCTGACACTATGTGTGCTTCATATTACATACACAGAGGCAGTGAGAAATATGGAAGCGGGGGTTGGGGAATACATGAACGACCTACAAAGTGTTGATGTTGCGGAATACCTCCATCCATGTGTGTTTTTTAGGGGCCGGGACTTCTGCAGCATGTTGGCATGTAGCGAGCTCGCAGTCCTTCTGGTTTATAAGAGGTTTGCTGGTTGTGGTTGGCCCAAATCCCTTCTCAAAATTCACACACGTGCATTGAAAAAGAAATATTTGGAGGTAGTTCCAGACCACGGTTTCCTATCGGATTTTCCAATCTAACCTTATAAGTCGAATATATGTAGATACAGTTTTTTGTTCACGAAATACCAAACTGGCTTTAGGAGCCCTCGGACCTAGGAAACGGCAAAGTTAAACCTGTGGATTCTATAGAGGATCGCATGGAGGGTATATAGGGTTTCCAAACATACGCTGCGGCTTCATAGGGCCATCTAGCAAAAATTATCCTGAATGTCTTTACGAAGGAGTCTTTCTTTTTATTATTCAAGCTGAAGGCTGACCTCATCCAAGACAAAGGCTATACAGATTTGGATGTGTTGCGCACTTTTGTAAAGCAGTCAGTAGGAACTCAAGCTCAAGGGGTCTTCAAGTAAAACACACCTTAATGTCAGAGAGTGTATACATGGNNCATGCACGGCAAGTTCAAAAGGCAGAGGTGAAGGAAGCTGATAAAACGGATGTAGCCGATGATGTTCGTACCCACGTCTCGAATAGCATGCTACAAAACTAAAAACTTCCGCTGTGCGAAATGCGACGAAATGCGAAACAACAGTCCCAAATATGTCGTATGTACTATATATCGATCTAAGACAACATTTAAAAGGTAACAGTGGTGGCATGTCCGTTCCGACACAGATGCCAAAGAGTCGGAACTGATAAAAGGTGATAGACAATCTTCCAAAAGTTATCTACATTAGATATACGGGCAGAAAGCACAAAAAGGAGCAGGTCTGTTGATGCTGCCCTGAAGTAATGCGTGCATATGCTTCGCACCACATACCTGGAGGCAATGAGAAATATGGAAACAGGGTTGGTGAATACGTGTATTACATACAAGGTGTTGATGCTGCGGCATACATCCATCCATGTGTGCTATATAGGAGGGCAGGACTTACACAGCATGTTGGCACGTACTAATCTTATAAGAGGTATGGTTGTGCTTGACCCATGTCGCTTCTCAAAATTCATATTTACGACTGCTGATATCGTCCTAGTCATGTAGTCATATAGCGAAGAAATTGAAAGCACAATACCAAAACATATCTGAAAATGACAGTTTTCCCGGCAAATGAGCACATGAAATGAAAGAGTCTCTTGTCGGATTCTCAAACCTCACCATATATGTCAAATACATGTCGATAGAGATGTTTGTTCACGAACTACCAAAGATGGTTTAGAAGCCCTCCGAATCAGCAAAGTTTAACCTGTCGACTTTGACGACTCCGATTGAGGGTATATTGGGTTTCCAAGTATATGGTGCGGCTTTGCAAGGCCATCTAACAAACATCATCCAGAATATGTTTACGAGGGAGTCTTGCTTGTTGCTTATTCGAGCTGAAGGGGGACCTCATCCAAGACAGTGGGCGTGAAAGATCTGGATGCATTACGCACTGTTGCAGAGCCGTCAGTAGGAATTCAAGCTCACGGGATTTTCCTGACCAAAGACACCTTAATGTCAGAGAGTGCATACATGAGAAGGGGGGGCATGTGCAGTATATCCTCCAAACGAATAGACATGGAAAAATGTGGGTCCATACTTGAGTTTAATGAGTGATATAACACAGGGGCTTTATGAACAAAGCAGTGCCACTCTTTAGCATGAATTGAAGCCACAAGGCGTCATGTAGACGCTATGCAGACGTGCGAAGGGCAATGTTATTTGTATGACAGGCATGCACCCCCACAGAATTCAGGCTCGAAGTTAAGATGCCAAGCTGGTCCCGAACAGCAATACTCAACAGCTGGAACTTTGGTTCGCCCAGACTGTAGGATTGATGTGCATATGAGTTACATAAATGTTGGCTGGCAAATTCCATTAACAATGGCAGCTAAATTGAAACACATAGATGAAATACGGTACACACACACACGTAAAAGACATACCTCTGAACTGTCATATGTGGCGGCATGCTGAGACCATATCTTCTGGATTCAGTGCGGCCATACTCTAAACTCTTGTGACTCGGATGATACATATATTCCTAATCATCATTTGGTATCAACATAGTGAACTATACTCATGGTTTCAAACGAATGCTACAATGCTTGCAAAGAAAAGACTAAGAATATGGAATGACGGAAACCGATTCAGTACAAGCTGGTTTAGAATTGAATGCATTTACAAGCGTTTCGCCATCCTTCTATTTCAGGAGTGATTTTCGTTATAAAGCACGAGAAAACACTGTAAATATAGGGCCCCCAGGGGCGTCCCACCCTCCATTGAAATCCTAGTTTCTTCCCGACCTAAGCGGGATACGACTGCGGGTTGAATAAGACGTGACAACAGATGATCGCATTTCGAGGCAGCCTTATGTTGCTTTGCTGGATTTTTTGGGCGAGTTTGAGGAGGCAGACCTGGAGACAGATGTTGCCGATTTAGCCCTCAGGGCAGGCGAGCATGAGGAGGAGTTCTTTGGCCGTAAACTGGCCCTGTGTGTAGGTTGGCCCGGGATCAGTAGCTTGAAAGCCTAGATGATCCAGGTCTTGCCACCTTCGGCCAGCCGTTCAAGGTCGTTAGTCCTAAGCGCAGGCATCAACAACCCCTGCGGCGGGCATTTGTTCAATGTCTTCTTGGAGACGGCACGCCAACGCTTTTCATCGTCACCCCCCAAGTTTCATACAAAAGCAAACTCCTGGTCAAATCGCTCGCCTTAGCGAGTCTTCTTTTTGGTCCGAATCACAGATCTGCTCTCGTTCAAAATTACAGCGCCTGAACTCTATTCGCTACAAAGCCTCGGAAAGATGTTTCAAACAAAAAGGTTTTATCACCGCGTCGTGACACCAACAGAGGCAAGATCTTCCAATAAGCATTTTCTTCGAACAGTGTATGAACACATCAGATTGCAATAGCAGCAGTCCCACAACTAGTAACCAGAGTGGCGTACCCGGGCCATGTTTTACGACGCGAAGCCCAGTTGAAACGTTACGTTGTGTTAATTCCCCGCAGAGATTTGCAGGTGTCGTGCCGGCGTATAGACTCCTCAAAAACACACGGGGCAGAGTTTGCCCTGTCCGAAGCCATTAACAGCGTGCCCTCCCAGGGTTTGCGAGCACTCTCACGAACTTGTACTCACAACCTACCCGGCAGATAAAAGCAGATCTTCATGTCCAGTGGTTTGGTAACACCAGCCCGTACACAGCTTATAGTAGGATTAAGTACTGGTTATGTAAAAGTCTTTGTTTGGGACTACCCCACCTACCTTGATCCCATGCTCGGATCTCTTGGAACTGTAGGACGATTCGAAGACCACTCCACGAAAAAAAGGTCAGGACCACCACTTCTCGATCACGAGAAGAGGACCATGCAGGCATGAATATGAATTCGATTCAAAACAACCTCAAGCGGGGATTACTAGACCAGTCGAAACAGACGTGTACATCGATTCTACCGCACCTGCCACCGGAAACAGGCTTCCTCTTAGAATTGTTGAAGGAATATGTTTTTTTGATTGGAAGCGCTTAGAACTCGAGTTGTGGACACATAAGTGGCGCTTGCGGCCTGGTGAGGCTTTTACGCGGGAAGTAGTTGATTGAAAGTGGCACTGGCGAACATACCGTATGTAATTACGATGCTTGTCACACGAAGCAGGGTTTAAGATAGGGTTGAGAATCTACTGAAGCAACCCGTCGTGTGACATGACATGGTCTGAAATGATAGGGTAGGAGATGACATGACATGATATGACATACCATATCATGACATGAAAGGCCATGTTGATGATGTGATTTGGCATGTCACACGACGGGTTGGTTCCGTAGATTCGCAACCCTGTGTTAAGCCCTAGTTCGTGTGACAAGCGTGGTACTTTCGGTATGTTCGCCAGTGCTATTTTCAATCTACTACTTCTCGCCCAAGAGCCCATAGTGCATCTTGAAACACAGGACATCATCACCCCCGCCCGCGCAAGAAGAAGCGAAACTTAGGTGCAGTTATCCCGCATCTGCAAAAACAAGATCGGCCGCGTGAAGAGAGCTGGGTCCACGAGAACGGTGCGCTCAGAGGTGGGGGGTTATGGCGGCGGAGCGGAAGGAGGCGCAGACCCAGAACCAATGCCCGGCTTGTACGGTAGGCGGGCAAGTTTGTGAATCTGAAACTGGCACGAGCTCTGGGGGTGTAGAGGTCAAGGTGCATTCCTCTTGACAGTCTCGCTGTATCCTGTTTCTTCTTTTATCTGTTGTTCCTGGTTGCTGTCTGTGTTTCACGGGTATCGGGCTTGTAGTGTTACTCGGTAATTGCAAGGGTCTATCCGTGTAAAACGCAGATAGTGTCAGAGCACCGCCAAGAACTGCAAATGCAACTGCGCAGCTTGCTGCAGAACACGAAAGTCGAGCTGTGCCAAAGAAGAAAACGACATGCCGGTGACCCCAGGCAAGCCTGTGCCCGGAAGAGCTGTGCGCACGTGTACAGCAAGGTAAGCCCTCGGTGTCAGAAGTTCCAGAAAAAATTAGTCAAGCGCGGTTTTGGGAACAAATCATGGCCGAGCCATTCAGTGGCGCTGTACTCAAGGCTGGAGACGGCTGAGTCTGAAGGAGTGGTCGCGGCTCGCATCCTGGTGAATGATGAGGCGGCCGAGTGGATAAGGTTCTGATAAAGGTACGGGTAATTGTGAGCATGTTTTATGAGAGCATTTTCCGCATTCGTTGCTTCGAACCTAGTGTGTGGACTCGCTCGCTTCGGCATATCTTCAAGAATGGTGGTGTGTGGCGCACTGTGATTTTCAAGCCGCCAGCATGTCCGAAACACCGCCTGCAGGTGTGCCTAGAGTGGCAACCTTGGGTGGATCTCCATGGCAAGTTGCACCACTTGGCTATGTCCAAGGAGGAATATGACAGAAAGCTGGCGTAGGATCCGTTAGAGGTCGTGTCACCAAAGCAAGCTACTGAGAAGGCGGATCAGAACAGAGCTTCAAGACAGTACATCATGGGTGCATGGATGCCTCTGGGTAATGCCGCATGTGCTCCATTCTATACTTGTATCATATGGCAACCAAGTCAAATCTGAAGTGCAGAAATGTTTGCGGAACGTCGCTTTCTTGTTGCTTTTCATGACATTTCTGCGTGATCAGGGCCAACTTGCCCCACGGTACGACCCATCGTTTTTGCCTAAGCTGCGTGTGTGTGCGTGTGATTGTGATTGTGCGTTTAGGTTTGTCCTTCTTCTTTTGACAGGTCCATGAAAGGGCACCTGCTGCAAACTGTTCATCCCATGCTCCAGCTCGTCGCCAGCAGTAAGGCACGTCGGAGCTACCCTGCCTCAACTGTTCGGACTCTTGAAGACTGCAGCGGTAACCGATGCAGGGCATACCCATGAACGAGTACCTCATGAGGAGCCAGATTTTGTCTGTTGCTCGGAGCTCTGCCGAGCTCTGCCAGAGCATTTTCCCCCCAGGACCGTCGCACGAATCTTCAGCTTCTTGAAGCAGCAGGCTTGGAACCGGAATAGGTCCATGAAACCAGGGCAGCTGTCGCATCGAAAGAAATCGCCCCGAGCAGTTCTGCTTGTCATGGATGTCGGATCAGCCCATGAATGCATGTCGTGAAAGCCAGCCTTCATGTCAGGTGAGTGTGTGTTTGAGTGTGTGCTCATATTTCAGCGGCCTGAGCCGTGCGCCAGCAACTGCACTGTACTATTTATTTCGTGTTTATCCCAGATGTCTAACTTTTGCGCGAATTTCGTGGTATGTTGCGGTGGGGGCATGCTTTCTGTCACCTCTTGTGCAACGATCTTGTGCACAGCTCAGGTACTGTTGGAGGCCTCCTGCCTAAAGCGATAGGTAAGTATACGTTTCAAGACAAGCTGCAAGAAAGGTAAAACAAGCTGGGTCAAAGCAAATCGGCAAATCCCGGAAGGGAGAATAGATTGAATAGAAAGCAAAAAAAGCAGTCATTCTCCTCGCCATCATCGCAATTGTTGCTATCACATTCGCAGCAATATCATGATGATCAGCACCATGCTTTTGTATTATCATCATCAGCATCATCATCATCATCGTCATCATGATCAGCATCATCATCATCATCATCATCATCAGTGTCGTCCTCTTCATCATCATCATCATCATCAGTGTCGTCTTCTTCATCATCATCATCGTCATCATCATCATCATCATCATCATAACCATCCTCGTTCATCATCAGACCCGTGACGCGACGCGGGTGCAGGGACCAGTCCCTGTGCGTCTGTTTCAGACGGTTCACACGGCCAAAGTCCTCGCCGTCCGCAGAACAAGCGGGCACGCCTCGTCAGGTACCGCGGTGTTACGTGAATCGGTGTCTTTCTTTAGGTTGTGTTCTTGAGATGATAATTGTTTTGAGAATCAAAGTTTGCGAGCAGTGCTTGCTGAAGCCATGTACCTTACCAATGAACCTGACGGGGTTCGGAAGCCATAGAAGTGCTGTTCGATTCCGCTCTTGCTAGCTGCCCTGCCCTCCAAGTCTAAGCTACGCCTGCTCGTTGATGCTTTCCTGATGCCTCTCTTCAGGGCGCCGAAACCGGCCTGGCGACGTCCACTACCAAGTTGAAGGTCTCATGACGCGTTCTGTTGTTTTCGGCCCTGCGAAGGCTGAGTCCGCTTTCGGCCATCCTCTTGGCCATGTCAGCAAATCCGTCAAATCCTGTTTTCAATCATCATCTCTTTGAGGCCAGTGTCATTCATAACGAGGGCTCTGCCAAGAAATCACGCATTTCTTGTGCCAGGCAGTCGCCTCGATTGTGAAGGTTTGTGTACCTGCGCAGCCTGATGCTGCCAGAGCTCCCGGCTCCCCCAAAGCCCTCGGCAATTTCGCGTATCCTTGCACTGTGCACCTCCAGTGCTTCTGAGGTGGAAAGCGCACTGCTGCCCACCTTCGGGCAGATTCTTGCGTGGAACTGAGAACAATACATGGCCTCGTTGCCAGCTCCTCCAGCTTGTCAGTAGGTCGGCATGCTGCACAGGAAAGGAATGTGGTGGATTTCCTTCCGCACGACGCACAGTCTTTCGCTGCCTTTAAAAGGAGTCTGATTCCTTGATAAATGATTCACATGATCCTTGCAGTGCATGGCACGTGTTGCTTGCGTTGGAGGTATACTTTTCAGATTATGGGCTTGCTGCTTGATGTTGCAACCTCGGTGGAGGGTATGAGCAGCATATCGTGCACATCCGCTCTGCTTTGCCAAGGCTTCCCCGAGCATCAAGCCACTCTACACAGAGCTTTTTGCAAGGCTAGGCACTAAGGGTTTGGTAAAGGACGGCATTCGGATCACTCAGATAGAATGGCAATGTCGCAGTCTATCCCTGCTGACTGAAGCCGAAGAGTGAGATTCCTTGCTGTCCTCTGCAAAAGCTCAGGCTCTTGAACCCGGAGCTTTGGCGTTCCCAGGCGAGTTGCTTATGTTTCGCTCTGCATTGGGTGAGAGAACCAACGAGCTCAACACTTTTCGGCGCAAGAAGGGGAGCACAGGGTTGTTTTCGGACTGGCAAGTTTCCAACTTCATGGAGCTTGCTAGATCGGCTCCGTTCTTGACCTGAAAATGAAGGCTAAGATTGCCCGCCAAATGTGGAGAGGTGCTTCAGTGCTGCAATGCATTAACGACAAAGTGCCACAGTGTCGTGGGGGTGGGGAGCAGCTGACACAAAAGGCCTTTTGAACTTCCGCAGCGGGACAAAAATTAATACGTCAACAGTTCCATTACTCTTTCGCATCAGTTCATTTGCGCACTCTCGTTTGTGATTTTACAACTTGCAAGAGATATCAAGAGATGACAAGAGACTAGCAGAGAAGCTTTTTGCGCAAAGGCAAATGTGCCGGGTCTGATTAGACTTCTGCGTTGCAGCCTTGGCGACTCAGTGGCTGCGAGCCGTGAGATGAGCGAATGTGCATCCGCTGAGGTGCATACTTTGCAAAACACGCTAGTTTTGCCGAGCTGCTGAAGACGCACATGCAGGTGCAGGGCATGCAAACATGCAGCATGTTAGCCGACTAGCTGACAGCTTTTCCATTGTTTCAGGCGATCCTTGAACGGTTCCAATTCGTTCTCATGAATCGGAAGACCGAGGCCTGCAAGTGCCAACGTGTGCCTGCAGCAGTTACCAGTCGGCAGTCCTTTGCCGTCGGTGACATTTTCAAAGTTGCACCAGGTATCGTTTTGCGGCGCATCGAATTGGCCCAGAAAGAAAATGAGTGTTTGCGATGGCCAGGTGGCAGCACTGGACCTGTCTGCAGCCTGGGACGACGTTGTGTTGCAGGGAACCGGAGTCATGTGCCAGGAAGCAGCTGACACACTTAGGCTGAACGCGATATACCAGTATCTGCCGATTGAGTTTTACCAGCAGTTTCTCAAGACCCTGATGACCGTTTTGTGCCGGCCTTACGTTGAAATCAAGTCTCTCCCGGTAGCATGTTTGAGTGGCTCAGGTTGACTAGACTTCAAAGCAGCAAGTCACCAAAGTTCAAGCGGGACTTTGTTGTTTCGTGCTCGCTCAGGCCTCAGACACACAATGCGTCTCGTGAGTGGCAGATGTCTCTTATGCTTCGGGAGGATGGAGGCAGAGGAGGGAGGAGGAGCGGGAAAGGGAGGGGAAGGGGGAGGGGGGTTGTTGTTTTGTGGGTTTTTGCAGGCAAGACAGCTCTTAGCAAGGGGGTGGGAGGAAGGTATCTCTATTTTTGGTGTGATTGAGTCTTGCTTTCTTGTTGGTGAAAGCTGCTGACTGGTCCTCTGGTTCTGTGTGAATTTGCAAGTGTTCTAGTTTGCTGTGTTGCTGCTGAATCACTTTTCTGATGTTTTGCTTTTTTTAGGTGTTTGTGAGAAATGTACTGTTGTTGCCTTTTTCCTGCTGTTTCAGCTGCTTGTGGATTTTCAGTTCTATGGCTTGTGGTGGTGGTTGTGGGCATATTCCGCGTTCGCCACACGGGGTACAGTGGGGTTCTACCCTTTTATTTATCACTGTTTGTCCCGGCCTGTGCTATAGGGCGCAGAACCTGTCTTTCCCTGTCTTCCCTTGTCCTTGCTGTCTCTTCGTTTGGGGGGATAGGTTGGCACTTCGTTACCGGACATCCCGTGTTCTCCGGCCACTTTTTCCCCTTCGTTTGCATTGCTGGTCACCGCGTTGGGGTGCCCGGGTTGCTGGAGAAACTGCATGCTCTTGTCATCTGATTGCGGCGCTGAGGCTTTGCATCCACAAGAACCAGTCAGTAATACCACTCTTCAATGAGATTCAGGCTGGATGTCGTTGCCCTGCAGAAACTGCAGAAAGATGGTGTTGCGATCGGCATCCTACTATAACTATATAGACAGTGGCAACAGCGTCCAAGCTCTGGATGGAACGTCGCGCATGCACAGGCTGGCCTGCTTAGCAACCTTGTGCTCAATGTTTGGCCACCCGTGCTGAAGATGCCGCTGAAAACGGACGAACGCAAGGCTAAACGAACTCTTCTGCCACTCTGTCCATGCTTATGCTGGGCAAGCTTTGTTGGCTACGCAGGTGTGCGTTATGGCAGTAGCCCGACTGCTGTCTTTAGATGAGATGAGACAGTGCGGTTTCTCAGATATTCTGGAAGTCAATGCCCCAGGGTCAGAAACCGAGCAGCAGTCGCTAAGGAACACACAGCTGGTTGGGGCTTGTGCTGTTGGCCTCGTTCACTTGCGACCCGGCAGAACTGACAGGGTTTAGGGCTGTTGACGACTGGCATGTCTGCAAGATTGGGCCTGTCCTCGTCGAACAACAAGTCGAAGTTGAACGGCGACGAGGGTCCTGGCCTTGCCCCACTCTCCGACATGCTCAAGCTTCTTGTTCTTGGAACATGCTGCTTCCGATTTGACCGAGGATCCGATGACGAATTCTTGGAGAATGCAGGTGCAGGTCAAGAGTCGGTAGCCCGGTATCCTGGAGCAGATCCCTGAGAGAGCATTCAAAAATGGGCCAGCAAGGTATGAAGTCTCCTTCAACAAGCTCCAGAACACTGACCTCCCCGGTGCAGCAGCCGGACTGGCGCCAGACGTGCCTCGCCTGAGCTCAGAACAGAAGCCGGAGTGACAGAGACATCAAGGATTCTGCAGAGAGTGCCTCTGCCTCTCTGCTCTGGGCGAGGTCCCCGAGCTGCAGTCAGCTGCGAAAGCAGCCCTGAAGCCAGTTCTTGGCGCCGCCCCCCTGCCTGAACGATCGGAGATTGTTTTCTTTGTTCTCGCTCAAACCCCTCTCTCGCTCTCTCGCTCTCTCGCTCCCTCGCTCCCTCTCCCTCTCCCGCTCCCCCCTCCCTCGCTTCCTCCTTTCCTGAGCCCAAGATGCAACCCAGCGAGGTGTCCGGCAGCGACGTCCAGCGAAGCGAAGGCAGCTTCTGGACGATGCGTGGACAGGTGCTTCCCAAACCACAGACGGTCAGGTATGCCATTTGCAGCTTCTTAAACTTGGGGTGGGTATCGCTTAGCATGGAGATTTTCGCAACATGTTGTTACCACGGCGATTTGGCAGCCGGGCCTGCGTAAGCCATCGCGTGCGATCTGATCTCTGCAGCTCAACTTGCAAACAGGAACATACGACATGACGGACAAGCCAGATGTGTACTCATCTGTACTCTCTTCCCTTGCGGTCAAGCCACTGCAAGCAAAACACTCTCCCAATTGACCCTGCAACTCGCATTCCCCAGCATTGCGGCAAAAGTAGCTGGTTCACCAGAGCACGCCGTCATGCCGACTATCATCACGTCGGAAGAGGAGGAGACCATAGTTCTTCAGTTCTTTGCTTGGACCATTGGAGGAAGAGCGCTGTTTGCTTCACCCATCTGTTATTTGCAGGTGGCTATATTGCGCATGTTGCTGGCAATCAGCATCTCAAGCCGTGCTGCGGGAACATGTAGGCCTTGTAGGCAAGACGAAGATCCAGAAGTTGACATTGTACAGGTGCCATGAAGCCACCCCTGCTGTTACAGTGGAAGCTAGATCGCAGCTGCTGACTCGTAAAAACAACTCCAGATTCGACCAGGACGCGGCGGAAGAAAGACGTCCTCTTCAGGACACCAGCATGATGAAATTGAAGAGCCTGTTTGCCCGCATGACCACTCGCAGTCTTACCTAAAGTGCAAGTGCACACCGTTGAGCGCAGTATGCCTGGCTGTTGTGTACTTATGCGACTACGAACATGAAAACCAGCACTAATACCACTGCTATTACTTCTGGACCGCGAGGTTTCGACCAGCGTGGAGGAGCTCCTGAAGGAGTACGACAGGCTCCGGAGTTCCGTCTACTTGTAGATCGGAAGGGCCTATGTTCGTCAGGCATGTGTGCGAGCCAGTTCCGCAAGCCAAAGTTGATTTTCTGCGAAGCAGTCATGTAGCAGGCGGTCATTTCACTTTGAAGCTGCTGACAGCATAGCACGGCGAGTGGAAGCAGCTGCTTTCGTGATGTGCGATCTTCATGGTTAGCATGACTTCAATTCTTAATGGTTCCCACGCCGAAGAGCGTGCAGCGCCGAGAACAAAGAGTCTTCCCAACGCTAGCCCCGTCCATTTGGGGTATATACTTTCGGAGAAGCTGCCAAGCCCTAAACCCTAAACCCTAAAACGCGCCCGTAGTTTGTCAAGTGCCAGCAACTGCCAGGAGGCTCGGCCGGATAGAGGCCTGGCACGCAAAGACCCAGGACAGAGAGTCCCTGGCTCCTCGCGGTGAAATTCCTTGGAGTCAAAAGCTCCGATAGGGCTCTCCTACTGTTGATGGTACAAATCCTGCATTACCTTAAGGACCCTAAACTATGGGGACTAGGGTATATTCCTTGCTATGGGTAACGCAGGATTTATATCATCAACCGTAGTTCACACATCGGGAGCTTGGAGGAAGTTGTTGCTGAACCATCGCCTCGCCTTAGCAGCCGCACGCTTAGCTTTGGGTGTTTCTATAAAGACTTCTGAAGTCAGGCTAAGCAACAAAGGGTCTTTGGATCCAACTGAACTCTTTTCTGGATGGCTGCGAGGAATCCGGAATTGCCTCATCGTGTTCATGTGTGTTTCTGTTTGTGCCCACATGTCTCACTGTGTCTGCGTCTGTCGGTGTTCGAAGATCATCTGTTTGCCTGCCCATGTGTTTTTGTGTTTGCTTGTTGGCGCCTGCGGGTTAGCTGTGCATGTGACGCCCCGAACGGCTGTTGCGAAAATGCCTTCGCTGCGCTGGAAGCAGAAGCTGTGGTCCGTCTATCAGCATCCGCCACTACGCGAATTCAGGATGTCTCAGCTGTATGATACTATATGCCAAACTACAAGCATCGCGAACCGGCCTGCAACCGTTGAGTGCACGGTCATACTCATACAGATCCCGAGCATATGACTGGAGATGTGCGTTGCAAACAAGGAAGTCGCAGTCACAGCTGGAAGTGCGAAGAGACCGAAGAGCCCCCTGAGCACACTTTCTTCAAGTACCATCGAGCATTTTGTGTTTCGAAACTTCGGGCTTTGACAGACCCTGTTGAAATCGTGTTCAATCTGACTCTAGCAAACGGCCTGAGTCTGATTGGAAGCCAGACATTGTATCATGATTCAAGCTAACGGCACGGTATCATGCGTTCAAGTGTTCGGCCATTCTACGTGGTGTCAGTGTGGACACAAAGAGAACCATCGCTTGAAAGACGGCCCCACAGTTTGGGACCCAAGCCTTTGACCCTAAACCCCCCAAAAACCTACATCCCCAAGCCCCAACCCCCCTTGTACTGCCAGAGCCCAACCTGCCCTTTGAAGTTAAGGGTTTGACCTAGCAGAGCCATAATATGATGATCATGTGATTTCTTTGCGACCACAGTGCTCGAAAAGAAATGGGCCCCGAACCCACAGAAGCGATGGTTCTGCACCAGAAGACGCCCAGTCTCTACTTTGTGAGACTCTCCCGTCGCCTGCCAAACCCGATCCAAGGAGTTTGATCCTTAGCCCGAAATGCCCAGCCCAAAACGGCTTGTCATGGCCTTGGCTGGCGATGGAGAGGTGGACCATCGGTCTTAAGGCCCGCAGCTCTCAGAGTCCGCATGCTGGGAGGCGGCCAATCGAACAATCTCCAGCGGTTCGTGGCTTTTTGGGGGTTTCACGGCTCCGTACGGCTCCAAAGGGGGAATTGTAAGGGTTTGTAAAAGGAAAGCGTAGACGTTGATGTGCGCACCCGGTTGTTGACCTGTGCCTACAGCCACAGCTCGAAAGCTCGTGTGTTCGCAAGAACTCGCTAGGGTCAGTGCAAGGCGCGGAATCCGCGGAAGAAAGGCAAACCATAACATGCAATGTTGCCCGATGTCTTCATCTTGCGGTGCTCCAACTACTGAGTTTACAGACGAAGGTGTGCAGCATTTGCCGCCTCGCAATACTTTGGAGCTGCCCCCACCGCGAATCCGTCCCCCTCGGCTGCAGGCTCATAGCGATTAGGCAGTTCCTGAAGGTCACGTAAGACTGGAGCAAGTCCAGAGCTGCTCACTGCGTTTTGAGGGTTTCTTGAAGATTGGTCGGAAGTGACAACGCGACTCGTGTGCCTCAGTGTTTGTACTCATCGCATGACTCACACTCTTCGCCTCTGTTACCTGGCGGCCTCTTGACATCCGTTAGCCCGTCAAGGTCCCGGTGTGCAAGTTCACGCTGCGCAAGTCCTTGGCCCGCTCCCTAGAATCTTGTCCAGAAGACAGTCAGCACGAGCATCGTTGCTAATGCATTCAAACGCACATCGGTACACAATGTTTGCGACAAGTTTGTCTTCCATCTGTCTTGCCGACGATCTGCCAGTCGGTGTATTAATTTTATCTCGGTGTGTGTGCAAGCGCATACAGCAAGCCCCCACAAGCATGCTCGCACTGATAAACTAACATGCAAAAATCACCCTGGGCGTTGGGGCGTGCCAGAATGTAATACGGAGAGCACGGCCACACCTCCCATCGGGACAACCAGAAGTGAGATCTGATATTCCAACAGTTTCCGAAGGCGTCCTTGTCCACGAGTGTTTGACAAGCTGGGAGATTTTGACACAGGTTCGCAGGTGTGAGGAACACACTGGATTCGTGTGTTAGTCAGCTTCCAGCTGGTCTGCAATGCTCCTGACTGCTGAAGAAGCAGCTGCATATTCGAAAGCAGAAGAAGCTGACCAGGGCATCTTGGAAGTCTGAAGACTCGAAGCTAGCACTGTGGATAAAACTTCCACACGTCAGGGATGTCGGTGATGCCGATGGACGTAGGCACAAGGCACCGTGCCAATTAATTCAGCACGTCATGATACCAATGAAAGAGGGGAGTCCACGACGTCCTACTGCCCCTGCTTGCCGAAACCGATAAACTGATCTCACGAAGTATCGAGGTCAACTTGCAAGACCGAGCAGACAACTACCATGCACACACTTGTCAAAAGGTAGGGAGTGCCCTGCACAGGTCGGGTCGCAGGCAAGATACGACTGTAGTGTAGTTCACACTGGCTCCAAGATCAGAATCAGGTCGTGTAGAGCGGACCACGGAAGAGGTCGATTCCGAAACCAGCCGACCTGCGATCTATCTCCCCGTGCGTGCTTCGGTATTCCCCTCTCCTCTGCACGCCACGAACAGTTTTCATCTGTTGCCGGAGTTGAAGCCTGCAGTCGCAAACGCCATCAACGCCGAGGCGGAGGCGATGCATCCTTTACTAGCGGGCACTTCACCCTCAAGCGGTGTGGGAACCCGGCGGAAGACACTGGAGCCGCGTAGAAACTCGGGAGCTCTTTAGTAGGCTCGCTTCTCGCAGTGCACCCGCCATGTTTACTCAGGGAGCTGACCGGCAGCAAAGTCGATCTCGAAGAGTCGGGACCTCGGTGCAGCAACGCCTGGAAAGGGAGCGTAGACGTGTAGACAGTGCAAACAGAATATACGATGTTGTGGCTTTGATGTGGCTTTGCATCTTCCTGCCTCTGACAGAAAGACGTCTCAGACATCTCGGTTTACTCGCGTGAAGTTTCGATGCCCTGCGCTGAAGGCAAGCGGAGCTGGATGCTGGAAGCTCGGTTTGTGGCTGGCCGGGTTCTGCCTAAGCGCCTGGAGAAATGCGGATTCGTGGTTCAGGACCAACATCCCTTTAGCAGGATGTGGATGAACGCCAGGCTGTTCGGGCCTCAAAGACTTGTGGTACGCCGTGCTATGCTTCAGAGACGAGGAGACGCGCTTCCGGATTTCTGACTCTGGGGTAATATGGGCTGCGCACTCACATATGAGATCATATGAGCGCTTATGTACACGCATGTACAGGCGTAAGCAGCAGAAGAAGGCACATGCACACAGGCACACAACGCAGGCTGAATATTGAATTGGTCGACCAGCTGAAAACACATGGTTAATCCTTTTAAGTTGTGTCGCTGCTGGTCCTTTGTTTCAGTGTACGGTCTTCAAATTGTGATCATATTCCACGATTCCGTGCATAGGTTGCATGCGCATGGGATTGAACTTGTTGCATCGCATTCTCCTGAATTACACTCACTGACTCTCATCTTATTTGGTTGTCATTTTACAATGACCAGCCATATCTGAGCCTACATGTAGGCTGCAAGCCACTAAAAGCATCATACCATTCCTGGCAGATGTGCGCGTAGGTCGCTTTGGGCTCAGTCAAGGGGCTTCCGCACCGGATTCCACGCGCCTGTAGGTATGTATGGAGTATTTGGCCCTTCAGCGCTAAACCCGAAAACCCACAAACCCTAAGCCCCGAACCAATCTTGCTAGTTGAGGCAGCACCAGGAGATGTTCGACCAGGACATCTCTTTTGGCTGATACACGCGAGAGTATGCTGCTCTATTGTCTAGGTGACAATGAGCTGCAGACCCTATCTCTGTGTGGTAGGTTTTGCCGTTTTGATCATGAATGCTGGTGGCGAGTGACAAGTGGCGGTTCTGGCAATTTGCATGCCTGTACTGGGGTATCTACGAACCAATTGACCAATTGAATCGCTGCACGTCCGAACGGTTCATCGTAACTAGCTGGCCCTTCAGCCGTCCTGTTCGCTGCCTGTTTCAGACCTTTCGCCACGTAGGACCTCCTGCAGTCCATCTACGAGAAGTCTGGACAGAGGGTGCCGGACAAAGTTGTGTGCTGCCATACAGGCTTGAGCTTCGCGATAGTAAGAATCTTCCTGCTGACGAATACTGGCAAGTCAGTGAATCACGTCACAAGCAGGCTGACGATTGACCAGCTTTTTGTTGGATCTTCCGCTTGTGAGGCACGCAACCGGGTTGCAGTCTTCGGAGGCGGCTTGATGGGCATTTTGTGCGGCAGCCCAGACATTTTCGCTGCCTGGTGCGGGAGCCCTTTGTCACAGGGACGGAGAGAGGCATGTTGAAAACTCCTCCAACTGACTGCAGCAACTCAGCTTTTGCACGTCTTGACTGAAAACGGAATATTGCGTCCGACATAGGACAGCGTACTGAGAAGATTGCTTGCTGTTGGCAAGCAACTTTTCCGGTTGCCACTTCAGCGATGTCGGATAGAGCTTCATGCTCAGAAACTGGGTAGTTGAGATGCAAAGTCATCAGTTTTGAAAGATGAAGTTCCGGTGTGGCTGTACTCGCGCGTAGTCGTAGTCATAATCACTGCCAAGATCTGTTCCACCACATGTTCTGCAGTTCGGAGTACACGGTGGCAGGGTCTCACATTGCGAAACCTGTCTGACATCCCTGACGATGAAACCCGGAGAGAGCCCAATACCCCTTCAATAAGGAATATACCTCAAACTATAGGGGCCTTAATATAATGATTTATTANNTAATAAATCATTATATTAAGGCCCCTGTAGTTTCAGGTATATTCCATTATTCCTTAATTAAGGGCTATTGGGCTCTCTTTTGGAAGGTCCATGCCTTTCGGGCCCATTGGCATGGCTGCGGGCGGACTCTTCGGAGCCTTGGCACCTCGGCGCTTTGAGGGCTACGGCAGACCCAGGAGCTTAGGTTCAAGGTTTTAGGGTTTAGAGGTCACGGTTTAGGGTTTAGGGTTTAAGGTTTAGGGAAGGCCTTGAGATTTCTTGAGTCTGCATGGCAGCCGCAGGAAGGGCCCGAGGGCAGGCATGCATCATGTTGTCAGGTTGGTATGCTGATCGGGCCGGGCCCTCAGATGTGGAACAACTTGAGATGCGCGCTCTGTGTCGGCTGGAGCTGATTTTTTTCGCCATCCGAGCCCAAAACCAAACACCCACGACTCTGGGTTCTAACTGCGCTTGATGGGACAGGAGGAAGAAAGAACACATTGAGAAGAAACCGAAACCCTTTCTCTTGCCAGGATCTGCTTGGATCGGCGGCGGTACATGCAGAGCATGAAGCAGTCCGAGATAGAGACCCGACGCTTGAAAAGCTTAGCTGGCTCCCAAGAGGGCGATTCTAGAGTTTAGGATTTAGCTTTCAGGATTTCGGGTTTAGGGTTTAGGAGCATCTCAGAGCGCAAGTCACGGGCCTGCCGTGTAGCTGTCCAGACGTTGCTGCATTTGCTGGTTGCAGGAGAGTTCGCTTAACAGTGCCTCATGCAAGGTTGAGGATCCGTGTTTCATGCCCAGCTGAAGTCTTGAGGTTCGCTGGTCTGCTGAGCGCTTTGCAGACGAGGAGCGCCAACATGCAGTTCTTGAAGCAGGGCTGTTGGTGCAGCAGTAGCTCAAGCCCGCGAGGAGCCCGAAGGCTAATCTCGAAATCTCCAGCTAGCGGCGTGTGGGCGAAGCCACAAATGTGGGAGTAGGAGTAGGGGTAGGTAGAAGTAGACGAAGAAGAGACAAAATCAGTAGTATTCAGATGGAAACAAGCCAGGAAGTTTCATAGGAATTTCCGACAGACCCAAAAATTGTCATAAGTTCGCGGACTCCCGAGCATCACGCAGGGCACTGCATGTCGCATGGCATTGACTGGGAAATGCCTTGAGCTTCAGAGTTTCATTGCGGACAGCATTTGATAATAATAATCATAATGATAATAATAACAATAATAATAATAATGATAATAACAGTAATAATAATGATAATAACAATAATAATAATGATAATAACAATAATAATTATTATTAATAACAATAGGATGACCCCTTGGCTGCCGTGCAGCATCTGGAGCTGGCGCGGCCACTCAGAGAGAGGGCAGTTTATGCTCAAGGCAGTGATGTTTCGTGAATAGTCTGGTCCTTTCTGTTACGATGAGACGTTGAGCATGCGATCTAAGACAACTCAGGTTGTCTTGGAATTCAAGCCTGTTGCAGACATAGCCATGGCCTCCAAAAATGCGTCAGAGCCCGAGCATTTCGACCAACAGCTTAAAATGCATCTGAATTTGTGCCGACCTGCAGATCGGTACTCGGGAGCTCGACCAGAGTTCATGAACTGAGGCGTCGCACCTTGAAGCTCTTGGACTCTTGGGCAGCCCGCCGAAGCAGCCCGGCTCTGCATCACGCTCCACAATCACGAATCCGAATGCCAAACCCCCTATAACCCCTAAGCAATGGTCCTGTGCCTAGACCTGTCACCTCAAAATCTTTGGGCCCATGTTAAGCCATACTGTTGATGAGACATATCCTGCATGACCTTAAGGGCCCAAAACTATCGGAATTATGGTACTTGAGGGCCCTAAACTATGGGAGTTATGGTACTTAAGGGCCCTGAACTATGGGAATTCTGCTACTTGAGGGCCCTATAAACTATGGGAATTATGGTATAACCCTAAACCCTAAACTATGGGAATGATGCTATAACCCTAAACCCTAAACTATGGGAATGATGGTACTTAAGGGCCCTAAACTATGGAAACTATGGGAATGATGGTATAGTTTTCATCAACCGTCTCCCTTGAGGCATGATGCGCCAGCTCTGGGCCGGGAACCTCGGAGCCGAGAACGCCTCCGCATGAAAGGGAGGGTTGAGGTTTTAAGGAGTTTAAGGGGTTTAAGGGGTTCAAGGGGTTTAAGGGGTTAAGGGGTTTAAGGATCAGGGTTTGGGGATGAGGGTTGAGGGTGTAGGGTTTACAGATTGGGGATTAGGGTTTAGGGTTCACAGATTGGGGATGAGGGTTTCGGGTTTAGGGTTTACAGATTGGGGATTGGGGTTTGGGGGTTAGGGTTTGGGGATTGGGAATTAGGGATTAGGGTTTGTTGGGGGTTAGGGTTTGGGGATTGGGGATTAGGGATTAGGGTTTGTTGGGGGTTAGGGTTTGGGGATTGGGATTAGGGTTTGGGGGGTAGGGTTTGGGGATTGGGGATTAGGGATTAGGGTTTGGGGATTAGGGTTTAGGGTTTGGGGACTAGGCATGAGGGTTTAGGGATTAGGGTTTGGGGGATTAGCGTTTGAGGGTTAGGGTTTGGGGATTAGGGTTTGGGGGTTATGGGCAAATTGGCTGATAGGCTTTGGGGTTTCTTAGGGATTCAGGCTTTAGAGTCTGGTGTAAAAATGTAGTCTCAGAGCCCAGCTGCAAAAGGGGCGTCGTGAGGCCTACATGGACAACATCTTGATCAACTGGAAGAAGTTGACGCAAGCAGATTTCTTGCGCAAGATGTCCGGCTCCAAGTACTGCCCGTTTCGCTCGCGAGAACCTGGTGATCTCATGCTGTCCCCAGCACTGGTTTTTGAGTGCACCAGACAAGAGTATGTCTCGGAGACGTCGTTTGGCATTCTCGACTGCACGCTCAAGCCTCTGCACGACTCCTGTGAGACGCATCAGCAACGTGTCCTCGTGTTAGGGTAGATGACTGGTTCCAATCATGATGCAAGCCGTGCTTGAAATCACAGTTGACGGCTTCGGTGTACTTCCCTCATGAGGAGGGGATTGTGAAACGAAGACAAATACTGTTGACAGTCAGCATTTTACTTAGCTTCTTTGCAGCGCAGCGCTGCGCTGTGTTCCGATGGCAGCGCCAAAGAGCGTGGAGCAAGCCGCATGATGGCAAGGAGAGTTGGGCATTTCTGCTGGGCAGGCAACTATTATTGTCCGTAAAGCTGTGTGCTTTAGCAGACTTAGACACTTCAACATGTGGGAGCGGTGAGCTGGAAGTCTTTCTCCAGCTTGCGTGACCGACTGTCGTGCTTGCACTTTCCATGTCTGGCGCCGAGTCCTCCGAATGCCATCGGAGCTCAGGAGGCTCCGGGATTCTATGTTCATTTTATGCCACGAGGTTTGATTCTATGCACGGCATGCACTGAATCTTCTTTGTAGGTATCATGTCTTGCACTGCGTCTTATTCACGAGTACCGTCTCCGTGCCACGTAAGCAACGCAGTGGCGCCTTTGCAAGATGGCTTTGAGAAGCGGCAGGCTATCCGGATCCTTACACCTACAACGGCAAGGGCAAGGACCGACTTTGGAAGTCTGAGATTTCGAGGGAGGCACAGCTTGCATGTCGAGACAGGCGATCTACAATCCGCCCGTCGAGCTGCCGTCCTCAAGTGCCAGCAACTTCTTTGAGGAAGCAGGGGCAGGACTTTCCGCCGCAGATTGACTGACACAAACTGTTGTGCGTTCTGCAAAGGGCATTGGGTGTCGGGGCTGGGTAATGTGGGGCCTTTGAGGAGGCTGAGTCGCAGCTTGAAGAAGCCTGAATGTTCTCGTCAGGAGAAGCAGAGGAGACGGAAGCCCGGCGCAAGTTCAACAAGTTCTGCACGCAGCCAGATGGCTCTGAGCCAAAAGCTCACCTGACCTATGAAAGCTTTTGCCGGCTCGTGGCGCACTACGAGGCGGCATCTTCCTCAATGGTGCAGTCTTATTTCTATGCCATTGACCGTGACCTTGATCAAATTGGTTGTGCAGGCTGCGTGAGCATGTCGGAAGCTGCACCCCAGTGCCCAACAACTCAGGCAAGCGAGACAACATGATAGACTTCGACGAGTTTTTCCTGGGTGTCGTGGCGGGAGATCCAACGTGCCTTGCATGAAGTTAGATGGTGGCACACTTTTAAGATCTCGGCACAGGCACGAAGACTGTACTCTTCTCATCCGCCAAGGACCGTGCACATACTCAATTCCTTCACTGGGAGAGCCTTGGGCGCAACACCCCAGCTTCTAAGGCCTGCCCGGCACACGAGACACAGCAGTGCGAGCATTCAGCACAGGAGAGAGGGCACAGTTCACGTTCGACTTCTACGACATGAACCACTCTGGCCTTTTAGAGATCGAGGAGTTTGAGCGAGTGGACGCTTGGTCTACCAATGTAGCTCATCGATTGCTGCCAATAGCCGTTTTATAAAATTTCGCTTTGGGATTTTCATCTTCGAGATGTTGGTCAAATGAACATCGGCTCGCAGCTGGACAGCTCTCCTACCCCCTGTCTCTCTGCTCACCTGCCGTGTACCGGAGACCCGGAAGGAAGGCTGTGTTTGCCGAAGCTCAGGTCCGGGACTGCGCGCTGTCACAGCTTAGCCCCGAGCAGTGCAAAGGCACTGCGCTGGAGAAAGCAGAAGAGCTTGGCCTGATGGACGACAGGCCCAGAGCGGGATGCAAGTCCCCTTTAAGGGTATTATAGGTTTCAATAATAGGGTCCCCTTTAAGGGTACTATAGGGCTCTATAATAGGGTCGTCAAGAGCAGGGCCGAGTAGGGCTAAGTATGGGCTCGACCTTTTAAGAAGCAGGAATGCCGCAGGTCGCATGCTTGCGGTAGGAAGAAGACGAGACCCATGAGTGGGAATGCGCAGGCAGGATGGTGGCTTCACGCCTCCTGACACAGGCAAGTTCTACGAGTTCATTATGACGGCCCCTCTTCAGAACTTGTTGATCTTGCTGGTCTCTCTCGAAAGCCGAGCATGGATTAGCTCACCTGGCTCAGCGCTAATTCTAAGGAGCGCTTGCGCGGCACTTCGCGGCTCTTCCGTTTCCAGAAGAGCCTCATAAAGCCTCCACAGAGCCGGTCGCAGAAACGAGGCCCCTCGGCCATAAACCTCGTGACGCCTTCAGACTTCAGATCGCCTGTGCCAAAAATGAGGTCCGCAAGCTTCGGTGGGGGCGGCGGGGCCCTTGGGGCACTTGGGGCACCCCACAGCCCTTTCGGAGCCTCAAATGCCGAGCTCCTTCGTCCCCGCGGCCCCCACGGCCGCCCCCAGCCAACGCTCGGAGCGCTGCCGCCCCGAGCGCAGTGAGCGCCCGGAGGAGCGACTCCGGCCGCCGCACGGCAAAAGGGGCTTAAAAGTGGTGAGAGCAGCTTCTGAGGGTTCGAACGGCGTCTTAGATGTTTATAGGGCTCCAGGATCTGTTACATGCCGCAACCCCAAAGATCATACACATGACTATACATGTATGTATATATATATATGCATAAATCATAAATATAAATAAATGAATATATATATATATGTACATACACATACATGTACGTGTAGTTCCACTCCTCTCCCTGCCTCCCTGCTCCTTCATCACTCTGAGTCCTGTGACTCGCAGAGAGCCCAAGGCAGGAGTGCTTTGAGCTCCCGGAGGCCTGGAGTTGAGGACTCTCCATTGGTAATTTGTATGGGTTTAGGGTTTTGGGTGTAGGGTTTTGGGTTTAGGGTTTAGAGTTTTGGGTTTAGGGAGTTGTAATTTCTATTGGGTTCTGAGCCTGGCGATTGGGCTGGGGGGGGGGTGGCCTGCAGCCTGCCTTCTCTCCCCGAATGCGCCGCCTGGCCGTTTTTTTTTCTCTTTCTTCAGCGGTTTGCCTCCCTAAACCCTAAACCCTAAACCTTGAACCCTGGACCTTAACTGCTAAGTGGAAAAAGGTGCCAAAAAAAAAGCCTTGAACCCTAAAAGCTCCAGGCCGGCCACAAGGAGGATCCCATCCCGGATCTGACGACGGAAGAGCCGGGCAGCGAGCAGGCCGCCGCGGAGATGCGGAGTCCCTTGTGCTAGTACTATAGGGATACTATAGGGGCCTTAGTTTTGGGGGTTCCTTATTATAGTATAATGTTGGCAGGTGCTGTTTCTCCGATGTTGAGCTTCCTTTTTTGGGGCGTGAATCCGGAATCCAGAATGCCCATCCTCCCGTTGGGGCGGATCAGACTGAGAAGGGAAGTCGTTGAATCGCTCGGAAGGTTTCGCCACCAGTCCGAAAACCTGCATCCAAAATCCTGAACTAAAAGCCTGCCAAATTGGTATTCAACTGTATCTGCAGGCGAACGGGGCGATAAAAAACCTGAACCCTATCAATGCAAAAACTCCGAACCCCACAGCGAACCCTGAACTCGGCAAATTTTCAGACTCCCCACTTCGGAGGACTCCGAGATGAGCCCTTACATCCTGGGCCTCGAAAGCGACGCCCCAAGCCCCGACGCGAAGGACCCGGGTGTTGTTGTCTCACTGCCTTCCCTGAAGGGAAACGAGCCGATTTGTGTGGAACTCGTGGGAGAGAATGTGAGTTTGATTCGAGGATGTGTCTGTCAATCTGCCTCCCTACGACGCGTACCTGCCGCCTGCGCCTGCGTGCCGCATCGCGTTGGACGACAGCTTGGGAACCTGGTCTGCACATGACTTCTGAACCTCTGGTCACCTATCGGGAGCACCGGTTGGGGTAGTGTCCACTGCAGAAGCTGCTGAGCCTGCTGGTGAGTCTGGTGAGCTATCGTGATAAAGTGCATCGGATTATCATCTTGATAGCTGCCTGCGATTGCGTATATCGTTTGGTGCTTACACTGAACCAAGTTGCGCGACGACCGCGCTAGTTCGTTCCAGGCACTGCCGACGCCGTGCTTGCCGCGCAACGCGTCATGGAGACGCTCAGCGTGGAAGACTTTCCAGGCTGCCCGGCTTCTCCAAGCTGCATGAGAGAACCTCTGCTTACGACAGAAGCTAAGCACAAGGGCCGAGTGATGGCGCATCTTCAGTATCGACAAGCTTCGGCATGCCATCTTCATGCCATGGCCTACTGAAATCTGTCGTAGGATGTCGTAGCGCAGCCAGGTCTCATGCCTCCAGCGGATGGAAGCTTTGTGCTCTTGACATCTGCTGAGCTCGTCGACCTCTGCCTGGAGCTTACGGTGGCTTACGGTAGGATCGTGAGTTAAAAGTGTCTTCAAGCGCCGATCAACGTCGATCTCGGAGCGTCAGCGTCGCGTTTATTCTTGCTTTCGGGTGTAGGCTTCAGTACAGAGTTGAAACCTTAACAAACCATTTCATACAGGTAGTATCCTTCTGACGTGTCTTTGAGCTTACACCGTTCTACCACAAAGCTCCGTTGCCTCAGGCCGGGCGGTCCGCCCAATTCTGGCGGAGGAGGAGATGAGCCTCGGCAGAATGTGGTGGGCCGTGACAGCATTGAAGCCGCGGCCGATCCAAGGATCATTCCGAAAGTGGTAGAGCCCATCAAGGTCTTTGGCCTCTCGGCCAAAACCATCCCAACTCGATAACCACGAGAGACCCTTCGAACTCGAGTCACCTTTTCAACGGCCAATCTATCCTAGAAAGGACATTGTTTTCATATCAGGAACAGCAGAAACATCATTGCTTCAGCACAGCATCAGCAGTGGGCCGGGCCTCGTCTCCCACACCAAAGCGATGATGACGCCGCCGACAAGACCTCGATTACGAAGGACGGTAAGCGCACGGATGAGGGCCCCGAATCGCCTGCTCGCAGCCAGCATTCTCCGACCAAAACGGCAGCCAGGAATCCACATGTTATTCTTTGATGAAACAATATAGTATAATGACTATAATATATTACAATGTACTATAATATACTATAATATACAAGGCGACGGGTTTCCTTGCGAGGCTCACTGCATGGTCAGCTCTGTGACCTTCTATCGTGGTTTAAGTGGCACAAGCCACCATCAGACGGGCCCAAAGGTGACCTGCAGCCGCTTTCGCAGCAAATAGGCTTCCATGCACGTTTTCTGGATGCTAATGTGTGAGCGTGGTGTCTGCAGGCTCTCGTTAGAAGGGTGTTTGCCCCAGAAATGAGGTATGTGAATTATGTTTTCCTGGGTGACTATGCAGATCGTGGAGGTTATGGACTGGAGGTCATCTCGATCCTCTTTTCCCTCAAGGCCAACTCTTGCATAAGTGTGGATTATCCGGCTGCATACTTAACAGTAGAGGCCCGTCTTTGCACAGAGTTGTTTCGGCATTGCCCCCATCACGGGGTATCAGTGATTACACGATTCTGCGAGGTGTTATTTCCCCACCGTGTCTTTCTTCTTCGTGGTCATCATGTGTCTTGCTGCAGAGTGCAGCACAAGTGAGATTTGCAGTACCATGTGTGATGCCTGCCCCTGTAATGTGATTCTGCTTGACATTCAGCCTCAGGAGAATCGACATGTGAACTACCACCTTGGCTTTCGGCAAGAATGTGAAAGGCGATTAGGTGCAGCAGGAGAAGTGTTGCGGCCATTGGCAGTCTGGGCTTGACTCTGGAAGGGTCGGCCTCCTTTTGCAGGACTCGAGGTCTTTGAGTATGTGAATTCTGCGCGCCTCGGCCGAAGGAAGGGCCTAGGCCTACTCTATTTCAGACTCTTCTTGTGATCCATTGCTTCTCTTGGGGAAGACCTGAGGTTCGATCACCTTTCCCTGGCCGCCCTAACCTGGAGCGGCTTCCTGGCGATGGGGCCGGGCGTTGTGCCCGCATCCTTGGCGGCCATGGACACCTGTTCCATCAAAGCTCGGGGGCTACGCGTTCTGTTGCGTTCATAGTGACAGTCCCACTCCGGTGGAAGGGAAGGCATGCACTGCCCCCTTGACTTGCAATCCGTGCCAAGGATCAGCTCAACCTGTACCAGAAGCCGCTGTCGCTGCCGCTTCTCAGTTGTGAACCATATGATGTTGTGTTGGTGTATAGACACTAAGCTTACAGAACCAGCATCCGCCCCCGTTCAAGCAACAAGAACGATGCCCTTCGCAGCTACTGAGCCTGGAATGGGGGATGTGATGTGCTACTGAGAGACCGAGGCATCCGTCTCAGGCGAGCGAGTTGGCCAGCGATGACACTGACAGTGAGCAGGCAGGGCAGAAGCACAAGGACAGGTGATGACCCTGCAGGTTTAAGCCTAAGCTTTAGGAGGGGTTTAGGGGAGCTTTCTTCGGACATGACCACGACTTGAGACGATGTTCTTGCTTTCTTTGTTGCTTTTCTTCATTTCTGCACCCCAGTGCCAGATTTTGCTGGAGCTCTTCACGCGTCTTGGATTAGTGTGGGAGCTTGGGAGTAGGAGGAGAGCAGAGATGCGGCCTTTGTTGTCGTAGTGTGGCAGAGTGCCTGTTGCGAGCATCTCAGGCCAAGCTCGCTTCTGTCTCGAGACCTGGGGGCGAGAACCGTGCTCGACGACCAGTCCCTGAAGGTGTGGGAGCCTGTACGACCCTACAAACTTGGTACCCAGAAACCTTTGAGTGGTTTTCGAATCACCCTTTTTGGCAGTCTCTTTGCAGGTATTCTGTGCATCTCAGAAGCTCAAGGGGGTCATCTTCGGCCGCCAGAGCCCAGCATCAAAGCTAGAGAGAAAGACGAAACATTGGCTTGTACTCTCAGACCATGTCAGACCGATATTTTTGCAACGCATCGAGGATCCTACCGCACGGGCATTTGACGGAGAACGGCGTGATCAGGCCGCACTTCTTTGCCTTTGGAAGTCTTGACCTGAGAAGAAATCGAAATGTCGAAGTCCGCTCGCTTCTCTCGGGCAGGGTGTGCTCTTGCCTGAACTACTGCGACCTGTTCCCGGGCAACCTGGCCTCCATCCTTTACATCATGACCGACTTGGACTTGACAGCCTTGATCAAACCGAAGGCACCTCGGGGCTGGGGTTCGGATGTGCAGTTGTTCGGTCTTCTTCCATCTGCGAGTGAATCATGGGCTCCACCGATATGTGGCGGGCTGCTTTCAAGCATTCAAGCGTGCCCCAAGCAGGCAGCAGTCTTCAAGAGAGCGGTCGCACTTCGATGCAAGATTCCAGCGCTCAATAAGTGCATCTCGGTGCAGCTTTCAAATCATTTGCAGTACTCGTATGTGGCTGGTCAAGCATCGCTTAGCACCTGGCAACAGTCCCAGAATCTCAACCAGATGAATCGATTGTTTGATGTCACCGAAAACCGCTGTTGCTTCTAGTCTCCGAGAATCTCGCAGCTTGTGGCACGATCCTTCATAGCATTTAGTTGGTCTTGGACAGACCGCAGATCGTTGCAGTTTGGACGCCCACTACTTCGAAGTACCCAAGGTGACCCGTAGACTCTCAGACCCCTTTCTTGTGTCGGAGGTCATGACCAGCTTTCTGGACAAGCATCACCACCTCTCCGGTGCCTGGAGATTTGATTAGCAGTACGTGGGGGAGGGTTGGGAGGGCAAGGGCCATGTCATGTGCCTAGACAAAAGTTGTGTTACCATCAGTTGCAAAGCGAGTTTGATGTAGGTCCTAGCCAGAAGGGTCAGCATGGGCCTGCGGCTTCTGACTTCGTTCCGTGTGTCCTCTGCTCTCAGACTGCCCAAACGGGGCAGTGCCTCGGCGAAGCAGCTCGCCAAGCCGCTGGCCCAAGCAGGTGCGTGGGAGGATTTCATAATGTTTCTCTGATCTTGTGCCAAATTCGACCACTATTCTCCTACTTGGAACAATGTTGAGGCGGTTCAGGCAGGAGAGGCCGTCTGTAGCTTCAGAGCACCTGCCAGATTCGCGCGCCAACCCCTGACCGCATCATTGCAGTTGTGGGGCGCTGAGCTGCTTTGCGCTCATGGCTAAGTTGAGCAACGTTATGCAGTCCGCGATGTCGAGGAGCACAGCGAACGCACGGAAAGCAAGGCACGACACAATCAAAATAATTAAAGGAAGGGGGTGGTGGCTTTGCCATTTGCTGCATGTGACTCTGACAGGCCGGTCCCCTCGTGCTCTTCCCCGCGTACAAAGCTTGCGTGCCGAAGAGGGCACGCCCGGGAGCCTTGGTTGATACCACGCAGCGATGAGCCCTAAACCCCTTACTGTAAGCCTCATCGTTTCAGAAATTTCGGGCCCGAACTCTGGACCTAGACTTTGTGCTCTGTGGAGAAGTCCAGGATCCACCATACCGGATGGCAGACCAGCTCAAGGCAAGGGCCTTTCGACCGTTTCCCCGGCGGGATGCTTTCCGCGAAGTACTGGGGATCTCAAAGCCATTGGTGTTTTCTGAGGTTTTTGAGTCTTTCAAAGCTGAAGCGCCTGGCATAAAGCGACGCGTCAAGAAGCTGAATGGACAGAACCTGCTTGGGCTTGCTGAGGCAATGCTTGACTGTGGTGCGTGAAGTGGTCAGTTTCAGCCGCGGGCGTTTGAGCTGAGCGGTGACTGTTTCAGACCGCCAGGCCTCCACAGGGGAAAGAATTCTTTTAAATTAGATTCACAACGTGTTTGGTGACTCAAGCTGGGAACAGCGCTTCGCTTCCAGCACCGTCGGCAGAATGCCATGACAGAGGCGCGATCATCAGACCAGCCGTGATGGTCCAAAGTATCGCACATGTCAAGTTCTGCCACAGAATGTCCACACCCCGAGCCCCGGGGGAAGGAGTCGGCGCCAGCGGGGGCAAAAGTGAGATGCAATGTCTGTCTAGCAACTTCAAGTTTCAGGGGGCTGCAAGCGATGCGAGTTCAGGGTCCTGGCGTCCAGGATTTCATTGGCAACGGAGGGAGAGGGGGGGGGTTGGCATGACATCTGAGGCAAGTCCTACAGACCCTTTGCGTCATGTACCGCTGCTCCTCACGGGTCCTGGCAGAGCCAGAGGCGCATGCTGCTTACACTACTCAGGGCAACGTAGGGGTCCTTTCGCTTCCGGGCAGGAGAACTTCGTTCACCGAGTGGAGCGGCTGTTGGACAACGAGCTCGTCAGGCTACTGCGGGGAAGGGTCTTGGGAGGCAGAACCTTGAAGTAAGACATGGGGAGCCGAGCTTCGACGCTTCTATTGGCTAAAAGCCTGGGAGCTAACGTCGATGAAATGTCGTTTACGTCTCCGTGGCGTTGTTGTCAGTAAGAAAAGGGAGCTTTGTCACGTTGCAGTTCAGGGAGGATGTGTGGGATTCACCATATCGAATATTAAGCAGTCACTCATTTTTTGACAGTTCCGCATGGGCAACGCCATCTCATTTGAAGCGCCCTCATGTGCGAAGGTTTGTGATCTCGCCGGGGCCTAAGTTGTGTGAGTCCTGCAGCTGCTTCATGTGAGCAGAAAACAACACGTGGAGACCGGCTGATGTGCTAAGCCATGGAATGCAATTTAGTGGGCACCATGCCGCCCAATGAGCGAATCTGCGCGTTGCCAACCAAACCCTCCTCCCGCCTTGGAGTGACCATTTACAGGGTTGCAATCCCGACCATGGCCAATAGTGTGTGTCTGGAAAGAGTGTGCGCCAGACCCTAGCAGGCAGCAGCAGCAGCTGTCTGCAAAGAACCAGGTGCCGTGCCATGCAGAGCCTTCTGCACAAGCTGTAAACCTTCACCGTCATGCTTCTCTGCGACAGTACTACGCACCGAGAGATGCACAACATGTGAAGCTCTCCGGCTCCCTCTGTGCTTTTAGTTGCCAGGCCACGGGCAGCATGATGCTGGCAGAAAGCATGATCTTCAAAGATGCTCGAACAGGCAGTGGATAGTGAACTTCACAAAGCTGTGGTTACTCGATTGGAGGGTGTGGGGGCTGCCCAGTGAGGCAACATCCGCAGCCGGTCCAAAGGCAACATACAAGAAAGGGAACAAAGAGAGATCGACGAGGCACCTCATACTTGTATCCTGCAGATTGCCGCAGATAAAATTCGACAAAGCACTGCAGGACTCTGATCACGAGGACATGGACGTCCTCTCCAACGCCGGAGCTCGTCCAGGACGCCAGGGCAGCAGAGCCGACCTGCAGCGAATACTGGGCTCTTGTTAAGGGGGTTAAGTTAAGTTACCATAATAAGGAAACCATATTATTTTCTGGGTTCTTGTTAAGGGAGTCAATTTAAGTTACCAGAATAAGGAAACCATATTATTTTCTGGTAAACTAATTCCTTAACAAGAAAGCAGAATATGCGATGCTTGCCAGGCAATTGGTCCAGCGAAATATCTCGCACTTCAAGCGGCGACTCTGCAGAGAGGCTCTGAGCACATCTGAGCACTGATGTCGCTGAGTGGGTCGAGCGAGAGGTGGTTTTTACTCCCGTGACGAACAAATCATCGCTCGAGTGCTAGGAGAAACGGTGATGAGCCACAGCGCGTGCTCAAAGCACCGTTCTTCCGGTCATGGGAGGATTCTTGGATGCTGTCGGATCGGGAACATACCCCCTGTGCTTCTCAGCTCGTCCACGCAGGACTTCATGGAGTTCGACAACAACTTCAAGCACAAGTGCCTCAGTTTGCAATCAACATGTCTGTGGCAGAATTTGGCGAACGCCGCTGTGTCCATGCAGACTGAGAGACAGCTACCATGGGCAGCTGCTGCTGCTGCCGCTGCTGCAGCTGCGATGATGAGGATGGCGATGATGAAGAATGTTGCGACGATGATGGCGACGATGACGATGATGGAGCACCGGTGCCGGTGATGACGACGAGGGCTGCCCTCTTCCACGGCTACTGCTGGTGACGCGGTGATGCTGTTTCCGTGACCATTGTAGCTGTTTCCTGTTTCTGTCACACTCCCCGTTCTTCTTGCTTCTGCCGAGGAGTTTTTTCGGCTGGTTGTGACAGTTGCAAATTCGAAGCCTGCACAGCAGCTTTTTCAACCTGGCAAGACGTAACGAGTGCTACTACGGCTGGCCACGCTTGTCAAGCTCAGGATCCCGATCACGCAGAGCGAGCACTCGCCTCAGAACTGCAATGTCAAGAAGCTCGGAGGCAGCAAATCCTTACCCTGTTGCGACTAAGTTTCTCCCTCTTGCTGGAGAAGGAGGCGCAAAACATGCAAGGCACACTGACTCTGTTGCTGGCAATGAATGCAGTCGGACAGGCACATAACAAATAGGGATATATAGGAATACAGGTTCGTCATGGTTCGTCTGCCGCCACATAGGCAGACTTTGCAGGTTTCAGCATCATCGGACAAGTATGTCTCACTGCATCTGTGATGTAATGAGCAACATCCTGCAGACAGGTAGTGACTGGCAACTAACATATTATCAGGCGCACTCGCAGCAGAACCAGAGGTCAGGCTTCGCGGCTTCGAGACTAAGACTGGTCATCCAGGCTGGGATATGTGCGTTGACCGCAAGGAGATCAAGGTTGCCAAGGCCGCCGCAACGTCCAGTTCAGCTTCGAGCAGCATGCAGGTTGCTTGAGACTTCTTGCAGACAACATTTCCCTAAGAACCTTGAAATAATTGGCTCCACTTCTTGTAGACTTCTTGCTGCGGGTACTGCGCATGCCGGCACATGAGCTGCGCTGTCGTACTACACTCTGTCGCCAGACGCTGCAATCTGATGGCGGTGGCTGCATTTTCTTGCGTGCCGGGGCCATCGGGAAACCGTGCCGGTGAGGTTGCAGACCGTCTTTAGTCAAAAGTCAGAGTAGTCGACTTCTGTTCGCTGAGGCTTGGTCGTCGCTACCGGATGTGGAGTTGCCGGTTGTATTCCACATGTTCTACCGATGTGAGAAGCGTATGGAGCCGCTCGGTGGAAGTTGAGAGCATAGTTTGGCTCCAATTTTCTGGTCTCAGTGCACTGAGACTCTATTTTGTACCCGTTTGAGGTGGGACCGGGCATTCTTTGACATGAAGGTCCTCGACCAAATCGAGGCATCAAGAGTTTATTCGACCTTGAGCGAGTGCTGCGATACTTCTGACACGCTCCTCTGTGCCAGGGCTCTGACATTCTCTACAGCGTGTTGCGAGTCCCCGCAGTTCGGCGCCCGGTGTTTGCCCAGTTTGAACTCAAGATGCGGACATGATCCAAATTTCATAGACAGCACGCTGTTGGGCGTGGACCACGGGTAGTCAGACCTGGGGTAGCATCCACCCTTCTGAGATCACCTGGACGGATTGCTGGCTACCCTCATCTGTAGCGATATCATGGTTCGCAGACGCTTGGGCTTTGTGGGAGTGGAGCCTGGTTGGGCATAGACTTCGTCCGTCTCGGTAACATAGTCATACTAGGATAGACCGAGGCACATGCGCAGCGAGGGTTCGGCAGAAAACAGCCTATCTGGACGGAGCTGTGTCCAGGTACCCGAGGCAGCAGGTGGGCTTACAGCCGAAGGAGAGGTTCTGTCTAGAACCTGATCAGTGAGCCGGTCTGCAAACAGGAAGGAACGTAAGTCCTAGAGGCCCTGGAGTCTCTTCCTCATGGTCCTGGTGTTGAATAAGCGGAATAAACTTGATCCTTGAAGCTCTGATGTTTGTCAGCCTTCCGGGCTCTGAAACCTATTCCCCGACGCATGTAACGCTCGACGAATAAGACAGTCTGCTTGCTCGCCAAGTGCACGCCCCGCGACTATGTCCAGTACCGGCGGGTGAAAGTCTTAGAGGACCTGCGAGGGATCTTGCCGTATGTTCGGAATGAACCTATTCGACAGACGCTTGACTTCCTAGGCAACGTGTGACCTTACAAGTAAGCGCTCAGACCCTACAAGATATAGCTGAGCAGCCTGTCCTTCTCATACCCGAGAATCTCCTTTACTCATACTTGCTGTGTATTCACTGGGATGGTAGTGCCGACGAACGAAAAAGACAAAGAAGTGCCAAACAGTGCCATGCTTCTGAGGCAGGGTGTATGTATGTATGTATGCATG